AGAACGAAAATTGTATGGGTAGTAAATCCCATACCTTGGAGAGGGAGAAAAATGAGGAATGAGGTGGAGATGGATGAAGGACACAACATCACCACTACCTGACTCACACATTGCACCGTACTCCAAACACGTACAATGTAAAATGAAGATGATATAAAATGCAGTTGTTATATACCCCTAGAGGATTGACTGGGCTGGACTCACGACCTCTGAGATCAAGCCAACGGCCGGGTCCCAAAGGTTGAACATACACAAAGTCAAAATAGTCAAAACATTCAAAACAACCTTGACCCTTAATCATACATAGACGTGCGCATCCATGTACGGGGTTGACACGTGCATGTACATGTATTAGGGGGGAAAATAAAAATATATATTTTTTCTCTTTATTTTTTGTTCTCACATACAAGTATACAAACATCATAATTGTGCGTTGACAAACGCTCTTGCACGCAAGTATTTACGAGCAAGTACATGTGCACGCATATGAGTACATGTGAGAGATAAATAATTAATGCATTCTCTTTGTCCATTCATATGTGTTTTGTAGGCGTAAGTTGAAGCACACTCGCACGAGTGAGCACGAACATGCACGTATAAGTGTAGATGTATACACACATGTATATATATGTGAATGAGGAACAAATAATATTTTCTCGTTTTTTTTTTCAACCACAGGTATATGCATTTTTATGCTAACTCTTGTGCATGGACGTTTATAAGCATGTTTATGAGTAAATACAACTAAGTTGGTCGGTTCAAAAAAAAAAAAAAAAAAAAAAAAAATATATATATATATATATATATATTGACACAATGTTATGACCCTGACTCTTTGTCAACCTAAGTATTTTAGGCTGTGCGAAAAAACTTCAAAAATTGGCTTAGACCTGCGTTACCAATCAGGCAACGTGGTTTGCCTCAGATTAACCCATATAGCCCAACCACGCCTGGTCCGATCAAAGTCCCGATCAACGTCTCAAGCGATCCCATTGCCAAAAAAATATATGAAAAAAAATTATGTTATGTAAAATTGCAAACACCGCATCTTTTCGTTTTTCTTGAGGGTGACTACAACATTTGCTATGGAATCTGAAGAAAAAACAAATTAAAAATAAAATACTAAATTATATCATACCCCTTAATGGCTCCTTAAGCCCTTTCAAGCCTCGCCGAACCCTTTTTACTCCCCATACACACCCTTCGGTGAAATATCACCAAATTCAAAGATGAGGTTGGATTTTGACACATCCCTGTGAGTGCAAAATCGGACCGCAACCAACAAATGAAAAAAAAAATTGACCTATTTTTGATATCGTCATGCAAGTTCGTCCGGTTTACCAGGATGGGTGACTTGGGCCGATCGACTTTAGTAATATAAGCTTAGACTTAATTGTATAAACATAAATCTAAAAGGTTTTAATATTTTATATTGGTCTTAGTCTCATTGAAATGTTTGGTCAGGTAACAAAATTCTTTTAAATATAATTAACATATCAGTTAATATTATAAAATTTAATAATTTGATTGTAATAGATGGGTTGAGATTTATTTGGATTTCCAAATACGAAATAAAATCTTTAAAAAATGTATGATGCGTATGTAAAATATAAAAAAACGTGTATTTTTTTCATACAAATCTTGAAGGGGGTTAAAAAGGTTTATACAGAGTGAAAACAAGGTGTAAACGAGTTTAAATGCGAGTTACTTAATAAATTCGATCTAAATAATTTTTTATTTTTTTGCTATAATATATTTATGAAGTTAAAGGTCACCTTCAACATGAAGTTATTATATTATCATTGTCAGGATAACCGACATTTTACTGGTCCTAACGTCCGAACATTCTTTGCCTCCTCCACGAACGTTTTGATTAATGCCCTAAGTTTTTTTATTTTATTTTTTCGACAAATGGTTTGCAAAGGAGGCGTTTTACATATATACATATTTAAAAATGAAAAAATTACGACACACCCCTCCCCCTCTTGTGCACACGTACAATCAATCCAGTAATCAATCAATAAATATGGAGGGGAGGTTCATTTTTTTTTAAAGTTACCTATCTTCTACTTTTTTCTTTTTGTTTGCTTAAACCACTAGTACCTCCTCCAGTATTGAAAAATTGGGGAAAAACGGTCCCCAAATAAATCGGAGGTCCAAGGAGGACCGACATAAAAAAAAAAAAAAAAAAGATTGGGTTGTCATGAAAAAAAAAACAAGAGCAGACATTCGGACCCTACGGGCCCACGTCGAGGGGAAAAAAATTAAACAAACGTAACTTCGTTGAATGTAGCAACATTGGGAATACCCCTATGGAGGTGGAATTGAAACTAGTGCTTTGAAGAATGTATCTGACCAGTATGTGTGGAACGTGATTGCGTTTAATTTTGTTTTTTCTTTTGCTTTATTCATTGTTTTTTGTTTTCCGCCAGGAGACAGGGAAGATTTCATGCACTACCTTACTCGCCTCATACTCAAAGAGGTATTGTAGGGTCCTCGCGAGACAACTAACTGCCTCGCTCACCTTATACTCACACCAGTACTGTAGTGTCTCGTATCCGACCGTGATCGCAATATAAGGGATATACAATTTTTTTGGTTCTTACGCCTTGACGGAGGGCACAATCTCACTACCACCTCGCATAATGTATCTGATGGCTATCACGATGTCAATATTTTTTTTTTTTTTTTTTTTAATGTAACTGTCATGAGGATAAAAAAAAAAATACAATGGGACCCAGGTTCAACAAAACTCGTTGTGCAGGGAAATTCAAGGTCAGCAAAAACAATCTCGGAGGTACCAGTGGCTTAACATAATACAAGGAAAATTTAGAGGTAGGCTAGGCTACCAGAGTGGTCTGGGACCATTTGCTCGGTCGGGCAAAAACAAATTAAAAAAATATATATAATATATAATAAATATATATATATACATATATATATATATATACACGGTTATTGGGCAACTACGTTTGATGATATATATATTTATATTTTCCAACTTTATCTTTATTTAAAGTTTAGTAATGAATTTCGATGTGACACTGAGGCAAAAGTTGTTCAATTTATTTTAATGCATAACATTATTTTTTTTTTTCATATTTTTTGGAGTTTTTTTTTTTTTTTTTTTTTAGCGGTCTTCTTTGACCCGTGCACGGTCGGGATGCCCGGGCAAACAAGGTGACCAGGGCGGCCCGACTGGTAGCCAAGGAGGTAGGTGCTTTATGGTATGTTTTATCTACATAAAGAAAAGTCTTAGGACCCGAAATAGGGTTTTGGCAGACCTTGAACCGTTGGTAGGACGAGCCTATCCCGAAAGTCTGGTCCGGTAACCCTGGTCATGGTCACTATACACAACATAGTATTTATTTTTTTATGTGTTTTTAAAAGATACGTACCTTTTTTTCACTGAGTAATATATGTTTTCGTGTGCGATACTTTGAGATTTCACTTGGCTTTGGAAATTGAAATGAGAAATTTGGGTTAATATCTAGCAGTGTTTTGAAGGTTTAATATACAAATAATTATGTCATTTGTTTACCTATAAAGCAATATAACTTTAAATATAATTATCTATCATAACCATAATCATTTGAAAAATATATTATGATTTGTTACTGTGGAAAAAAAATTAAAAAAAATATTTTCTTAATTTTTAATTTAGTTTTTTTAAATATTATAAAAGAAATAATTCATGCATTGAATATCATGAAAATAATAATAATGTTATCCCCTTTAAAAACTATTATTCTTATGTAGTATTACAAACAATGTATCATTTTAAAATTTGGTGTGGATTTATGGTCTATAGGGCTTTTTCGTGCATTGTGATAAATTTATTATTGACTTAGAGTTTAAATCTTATTCAATATATATGGTATAATATTGGTTATTACTAGCAATTTGCCTTACCACTTGCAAAATTGTGCTTCAGTGAAGATGTGGCGCCCAACATTTTTATTGTTTGAATATAAAAACTCGTAACTTTCTTTTGGTGAAAATTTTCGAAATGCCCCTCCGACTTTCATTTACTTGCGGTCTGCCCCTTTGGCGACCAAATTACAGTGTCGCGCCCCTTTGACAATGATTGAAGTTTTGGAAACCCCCCTGGCGTTGTTTGGGCCTGAAATGTGTTTAATATGCTCCTGCTGGTACTGGTTCCAAATTTTAAGTATAACCCCTGATAGCTTCTCTCCCAGGACGAGGGAAACGGCTGCGAGTGCCACCAATGGCCACAGGGGCATGATGGAAAGTTGCACCTTTCACTGACAGGGGCCTACAAGAAACTTCAGAGGCCCCAAGGGCACGACAAGACAAGTCGGCCGTTGGAGGGGCATATTTCAAATAAATGGAAGTTGGAGGGGCATTTCAAAAAAAAATCCCTTTTCTTTTCCTCCTTATGAGACCTCGCTCAACTTACCCGAATATTTTTTCCTAGCATGTTCCCTAGTTTTTCTGTCTGAAGGAACTAGTCATTCTGTGAGCCCTGCAGCCCTACCCTGGCAGCCGCAACTAAAACACACGGGTACTCTGCTACTCGGAGCAATTTTCCTTCGCAGAGAGATGCGCCAAGCCCCTACCCCAAAGAACGCCAGTCTCCCCCCTCACACGTGCCCCACAAGGGAGTGCTCCCCCTGTCGATCCCCTAATATATATTTGTGCTCCCCCTGTCGATCCCCTAATATATATTTCGTGAGCAGTATGGAGGTAAGTACATTGAGTCCCATTCTAACACCAACTGACTGTGGTCAGTGCAGCCGGGATCGAGCCCGTGACCTCCCTGTTCCGATGCCAAAGGTCTAGCCACCCGCCCTACCACGCCTGCCCCATGAAGCGACGGACGACGGCTTGGCTTGGGTCCGGCAGTGGCGCCATTCCATTCCATGGACCAGTCCATGGACCAGGTCCAACTCGATGGCCACACCGACGACACCGCCATCCGACCCGTTTGCGTTTCCGACCCTCCGTAGGCCCACCGGCGTGAGAGCCAGCGGCTCCCGCGGCGCTTGTCGCCTCCGCCCGTCCGGTGGCCCCCCTGCAGGACGGTAGGTACGCCTCGGACGGAATTGCTTTGGCATTGGCATCGGCATCTTATGACAGTGGCACTGCAGCTCCTATCAACTGCCACGGTTATCAATCAACAATGCCTCAACGATAACCTTGCCAATCGTGTTATTCAAGCTGACGTGTCACTCTCCGCTTCCAGCTGTCCTGTGCACATCGTCGAACGCAAACATTGTCTTCTACCAGATCGCACCTCGACTGACGTACGCACTCGCGTGCACTGTGGTCTATCTTACGTAAGCACACACACAAACACACACACACACACACGGAGAGAGAGAGAGAGAGAGAGAGAGAGAGAGAGAGAGAGAGAGAGAGAGAGAGAGAGAGAGAGAGAGAG